TATATATGCGTAGAATCGGAAAATGTAGTCGGAATTTCTTCATCACCCATAGTTTTTTCTATGACAATTATTTGATGTTTAATTTATTTTATTCCACGCGCAATTCGCAATCTGAAAATTTTTAATCTGAAAATTTTTTATATTGTAATTTTATATTGTAATTTAATATTTTGTAGAGGAAGAAATGTTTTAGAAAAGATATTTAATACTCCGACAGTACTTACAATATAAAAAATTTTCAGATTAAAAATTTTCGAATTGCGCGTGGAATAAAATAAATTAAACATCAAATAATCGTCATAGAAAAAACTATGGATGATGAAATTCCGACTGCATTTTCCGATTCTACGCATAAAAATAAGTAAGAAATATAATATATCAGAAACTCCATGTGACAGATGTTACATGTTGACCAGGATAATTATTTTACAGCAAATTGCTCAACCGCGAAAGAGTAATCTGACGGTGTTAGAAGCATAGTGAACATAGAAGTGTACACAAAATTATATCTTGCCTTTAAATATTCTTCTTACAAAATGTTCGGTGGAAGAAAGATCGCAACATTTTTGCCTCAATGAGTCTCGCAACGCATTCGAAGAATTTGCTTTCCTGTAATTTTCAGAAGTTTTCCTATCTCATACCAGATGCGATAAAGTTTATTGAGGTAAAATTGCTGCAATCTCTCTTCCACTGACTGTACGAGATTTACCAAGATCAGAGATAACGTTGAGCATGTAAGGGAACCCGGGAGTGTATCTATCGAGGAATAGACCGTCGTCATGTATAATCGAACGCAGCAGGCAAAAGAGCGTTGTGGATATAAAAGAGTTTGCGGGAACATATTTTAACCGTTATAGACGATCAAAGCGGTCCACGGTGATATTGAAAGGTCTGGATAAAGATATTAAACAACATGTAAGAGGAATAAAAAATGCACAATTCAGCAGTTGAGATAAGATAGTAGGGTTAAATAATATTGATAACTGGAATACAAGGTAGAGTGTAGATTTGAAGACAGATTTTTCATATTGTAAGTCCGGAAAAATATTCGGCGTGTACCGAATTTATATTAATATTACTCTGTCAAACTTCATCCCAAAGTTTAAATTCACACTAATCGCAATCGGCTTTTACCGGCTACATTCTCTTACTCTAGTTGCATACTAAGAGAAAAGTTAAAGTTCCAAAGAAGAATTAGTGAACGATCACACGTAATCATTTGTTAACCTTTTTTAAAAACTAAAAAAGGTTAACAAACAAATAACTAAAAAATTATACATAATTCGCAAAATGATAAAAGACTTTCGTTCAGTTTGACTTAATGCACGAGCACACAATGGAAATCGTATTTGCCGTCACATTCTGCATCACACCGCGCGCGGCCATTTGACGAACTTCTTTAATTAAATGCTCCAAATTTCACGCAGTTATTTGCAAAATGGCATAGGACCTTTGTGTTCAGTTCAACGAGCTCTACGTACATACGCACGTGTGCACAGCATGCAAGTTGTGTCAAGCACGCTGCATAGTTCAAAAGTATATTTTTCTCTCAAATACGTGTGACGGGCGCTTAGCGTTTTATAGTTGTATTCGGAAATTATTCGCGTCCCGAGCGCATGTAGCTCCCGTATCAAATCAATCGCGGTCTAGCATACAATTTAAAAGAGGAAAACGAAAAGCAAAAGAAGAAGTTGACAACAAACAAGAAGTTAGAACAGATCGGCACAGCTGAGAAAAACATGAAGTAAATATGAAATAATTCAAACTGATTAAACTAAATCACGATGACAAAGAAGAGCGAGCAAGGGGGATTGCTTTGCAGATGAAAATAAAGGAGTAATCTCGGAAATGTCGAGTGCTCTTCGGTCTACAAGTATAACGGAGTCGCCACTTTTGTTTGATCTCAAGTCCCGTTTTGCAGTAATATAATTTAAGATTAACAAGATTATTTCAAGTTTGGTTTTCAAATTGAATTTATTTAGTAGAATTCGGCTAGTCTAGAAAAAGACATTAAATCTATTGTAACTTTCCCATACGCGTTGTAGTGTATTTTCTACACTGAGAAATTATTTAATAAAAAATTAACAAACGGATATTTCCGATCAAAATATCAAATACCGATGAATTTTTATATCTGGTCATGAAATATCCGATAAGAAACATTGGTTTAAAATTTTTCATAATTTTTGGTCGGTTTATCTGATGAAATGCCATTATTATCGGAAGTATCCGGTTAAATTTAATCGGATATCCTGATCGTATATAAAAATTCATTGGAATTTGATCGGAAATATTCGTTTGTTAATTTTTTATCAAATAGTTTCTTTTAGTGTATCGAACGTCAGACGGGAGTGTTCGGCTCTCCCGTAGCGATCGATCTTCTCTAGAGCATTCGTAGAGCTCGTATTTCATGAAACAACATTATACTGCGCGAGTATGCTTTGTTTTTTTCTCTTCTTCTTTCTTTCTTTCCGGGCGATATTTTCAGTTACGAGTTAAACACGACCGTGTCGAGCGCGAGAATTATGTAGCGCGAGTTAACGAGCGCAAACTTCCAAAAGGGAAACGATTTCGGGTCATGTTCAGTGAGTGAATTTACTGTAAGAATAAACTCGCTGCGAAATATAAGCTTTATTATCGGTGCGCTTACGTATTCCGTCAGTTATCGAACGCTCTGTTTCTTCGAGATCACTACGATTCTACAAACATTCGGTACAGGCGTGTATATCTGCATATGGACGTATGCACCGTATTTGGATTCGATTGAATCAAATCGAATCTGCGTATGTTTATCGTGACGTGCGCGACATATTTTCGTAAAACTCGCCGTAAACCGTGCAACTACGTCGTATGCGGTTTTTCGTGTGTACTAAAAATGGAAAAAAAATTTTAAAAGAGAAAAAACCCACGGTGAACATGGAAAGTGTCGCAGGAATAACAAGTCCCATTTGTAATTTTTCGATTTTTCGAAAATTTGAAAATTAATTCGAAAATCCGTCGTCTCGCAGACAAGGGCTCGAGATAACTATTCATTTTCGAGCTGTGATTGGAAATTAATTGGAAAGTATAAACATTTCTCGCGAATTTCTACATTCAAAAAATGGCTGCGTTCAGCAGAGAAAGCTGTTTTGCAACTGTTGTAAAATTCGTGAATCCGATTGGAGTATACACTTAATTTTGGTTGAATCCAAGAGCATGTATCAATTAGATTGACGAATTTTAGAACAGTTGCGAAGCAGCTTTCTCTGCTGAACGTAGCCAATGATAACTTTATCTTTAGCGGAACCCTCTTTTATGCATGGCCTCAAAAGAATTCTTTAGGAAACTAAAAGAAACCTTCTAAGCACAATATTCTTAAAATTGAGAGAATTTCGTCTTTTGTTCGCCAAGTAGCGATCATGTAACTTCTTCTTAAAAGCGGAAACGTCAAAAGTGGAAAGTTTTACGTGAGCTCGATGACTTTTACGACCATGTAACTTCTCGAACAATGGGAATGTGAACATTTTTATGTGAAACTTTTCACCTTTCACGAGCCCACATTAGGAGAAAAGATACATGATCGACATCTTGTACAAATCTTGCTCTTAATAAAAGTTTCTTCCAATAAGAGAGCTTATTCTTCTGCTTCAAGTAAATATATTCTTCTTGATTCAGAAATAGGAGCACTCAAAAGAATATAATTTTATTTTTAACGAATTTCTCTTATACGGTCTCAAAGAAACTCTTCTGAAAAATATCTGATTCAAAAGGATATACTTTAATTTTCAAAAGAAGAGAAAAAATTAAAATCATATCTAGTAGATTTCCGATTAAAATAGTCGATTTCATTGGAAGTGGAATACTCTTTTGCGAGGATTTCTAGAATATAAAATTAGAAGAGAATTAGAATAGAATTAGAATAAGAAACAGAACATCTTGCAACTAGGATTCCTTTTTTAGTGTTAGAGCATTTCCCTTTTAGTTTTAAAAGAATCCTCTTGGAGCTACGTATAAGAGGATTCCGCCAAGAATAAAACTATATACCTGTTGTATATTGTAGAATACACAATAACGAGCACCGGAATCGTCATTCTCTCCGCTTAAATGCATACCTCGCAAATTCGATACGGCGCTGTGCGCCTCGTGTTCTTCCCGCGCAGATGAGATTAGTGGGATCAAATCGAAGGAATGGAGCTCGGCATCGCAGGAAAACAATAGAACGAGAGGAAAACCGGGTCAGTCGGTCGAGCGTGTCGGGCTGCGTTAGACAGGCCGGACTGCATCCACGGCGGTCACGCGAAGTACTGCACTACGCATGGTTTCGCCTCTGACGTTTTTCGAAAAAAAAAAATAAAACAGCACGCGGAGCGGCGAATAAATTCAACGGGGGGAAGAATAACGCCGCGCCAGAGCGAACGGCGAGAACTGTGTAAAAAAAGTGTAAAAAAGAAAGGAAAAAAGAATTCAAAATCGTACGAACCGCTTCGTTTCCATGGCTCGACGATAATGCGCTCGACATGAAAATGCAGTTGATAGCGTTAATGAAACGGACAAGCCCATTCGATTGTTCGGATCACCGTAGCTCGCAACGTTGGCATCGCCCGTCGACGCTCAATCGGTTTTATTGACCGTCGAATCGCACAGATAAAGCCGAAAAAGAGCTGAACGTACCGAATAAATCTCTCTCTATTTTCTCCTCACACAGTGAAGAACTTACTTAGCGAAACGATTTTTCGTTAACGAAACAACCGCTGATTGTACCGCGGACTATTTTTGTTTCAGCGATTTTAGACTCGCTTTGCAAGGAGTTCCTCTCTGTGAACGTGTCGGCCATCTTATACCTTATGAACTACGAGAAATACGGACGTAGCACGGCCAGCGCTCAATACTTTCTCCAATTGGCCGGTTACCTAGGAATCCCCGTGATCGCGTGGAACGCCGATAATTCCGGGCTCGAAAGGGTGAGTTGTAGCTTCGGCGGAAAGTCCGGGAATTTATGGAGTGGTGAGGCCGCTCGAAACAATTAGGTAATCGCTTCTTCAAGTACCCCTATCGCTTAATAGACGCCTGAGATACCCTTCGAACGTTCTCTCTTCCTACACTTCCGTTATATCTTTGTATAAGATGAAATGCCTGGACACGTGCTTAATCCTGAACATTCTTCTTGTTCTGGTCTGTAACATCTTATGCTCGAAAAAAGTTTTGTAGTAAAATATTACAGATTGTGTAATGTTCAAGATTACATCTCCACGCGAATTGTTTATGTATTTTCTACGTGATATATACACGATCATTTTTTTCTCGTACAGACTGTAAATCATGTAGAAAATCGCAATTTATATTAAACTATGCAAAAAGAGATAATTAAATTATGAGAGTTACCGTATCTGCTTTATGTATTATTTATAAATGTAATTTTATAAAAAAAGGCAACAAATTCCATGAAATGGAATTTTTATTTTATCATGTGACGGATTGGTAGATTCAGCTGTTTGCATAACTAAGAATATAACCGGAGAATTTTGCAGATTCTAACTTATTTAGAAACATTGATAGATTTATACGAGGATTCCAAAAGTTAAATAAAAAGAAATATTTTCATTGATTAATTTTTGATATGTTCTTTAAACGATATAGTCGTCTACATAGAAATGATACATAATTTACGTTATCTACACGTAAAACATTATAATTACGCGTGAAAGACCTATCCTGAAATATATATACATATATTGGATGTTGAAAGTTTAAAGACCAATAAGAATGCTCAGAATTAGGTACGTATATTGACACTTTTAGACGTTATTGCATTCACTTAGGCATTATTGCTTTCACTTCTCTTTCAGCGCACATGTCGACCCCGAACATGTTTGAATATATTCCAATTAATTCCTCTCATATCTATTAATTTAAGCTGTAGAAACTGTAGGTTCAGCGCTACCCTCTAATTGTCCCGAGCGATCTGTTTCCGTCGAGCACGCCAACAATATCTGTTCATGGGAACACACTCTGCTTTTTCTCTGTGCTATATTTTTTTTAGTATTTTTATTATTTTTTTGCGCCAAAGGATTTTTCGCGTCATATCGAAAAATATACGAGCTCAAACAAGCGGTTTCAATAGCATCGATTTTGTACGCTTTATTCTCCGCGAAAAGGGTATTTTTGCCGCAATACAAAATCGTAACTCGGGATTTTCTACGCGCTGGGAAATAACATCCGTCGCGACGGATGGCCGCGGATGGCCGCTTCGTCGGCAGGATTCGCGAAACATAACGAGAATTCCGTTGGTTTGCAGCGAGCATCGCAGAGCAGCCTGCAGCTGCAGCTGGCGCCGTCGTTGGAACATCAGACCGCGGCGATGCTGAGCATCCTGGAGAGGTACAAGTGGCATCAGTTCAGCATAGTCACCTCGCAGATAGCTGGTCACGACGACTTCATACAGGCGGTTAGAGAGAGAATCTCCGATATGCAAGACACGTTCAAGTTCACCATACTGAGCGCCATTCTGGTCACCGATCCACGGCACGATCTGCAGGAGCTGATCAAGAGCGAGTCCAGGGTGATGCTGTTGTACTCGACCAGGGAGGAGGCCACCAGCATCCTAAGCGCCGCGACCGATCAAAAAATCACCGGCGAGAATTACGTGTGGGTGGTGACGCAGAGCGTAATCGAGAATCTGCAGACCCCCAGCCAGTTCCCGGTTGGAATGTTAGGTGAGCGAAATTATGAGTGCCACGCGCGTTCTCTCTAGATTCGTGCAGATTCGTGTCACGTCGCTCCGGACGTTCTTAATCTTTTATACTTAATCTTTTATACTTAATCTTTTTACGATCAAGTTGGAAGAAAAGAAGAATTGGGAAATTGTCAAACGCGACTAAGCGTAAATCACTTCGATATAGATCTGAAAGAGAAACGAGCTCAAAGTCCAACCTCTGAATAATTTAAAAGTAAACAACGGGGAAGGGATGAAACGAATCTTATTTGTAGTTTCATAATACCGAGATTCAAGTTTATAATAGAAGCCGAGAGATCTCGAAAATGGAGTTTATGCGCTAACAGCGACGCGGCTCACTGTGCACGCTCATACTGTTATCTTACTCAACTTCCCAATTATAACTTGTATATCTCGTTGTATATGTAATTTTTCGTAATCTTGGTTAAAACCCCGCCGAGAGCACTTTCAAAGGGAAAATTGTGCCCTCGAGTGAAAGACAATTACTTGGCCGTGCGCGTCTCCGTGGAAAATCCTTCAGCGTGGGAAAACGTTGATGGATTAAAACGTAATCGGAAGATCGTGCGGAGTGCGCATTCACATTTCGAATAATATTTAGAGAAAATTCGTGATATACATATAATATTATATTCTGCATACATGTACAGAAATTCAAGAATAATTTTTGATTATTGCGCGTCGCAACGTTGCAAGAATGAAATTTTAATCAGAAGTTTCGTCAATTAATTTCACCATCATCGTTTTTTGTTGTTTTTTGTTGTTAACTCTCTGATTGAAAACACAGACACGCGAGATACAAATAAACCTGCAAGCAACCGAACAAAATCCCAGTGTAATTTCCGTCAATTATTTCGTAAAGATAAAGTTCACTTTATCGCACGTGGAGTAAACTCGAGTATTATAGTCATAGGCTCTAAATTCTCCAAAAATTGCTAAAACTCTTACAAAAAGGTATCGCTGATAATTACTAAAGAAATAGTAGTAATCAATCACTGTTCACTAACTCAGTGATTATTTGGCGAATTATTATACAAGATGTTTCAAAAGTGTGGGTTAATCACTCGGGAGGTGATTGGGGACTCAAAAACAAGAAAAATAGTTAGTACAAACATAGATCCGAAAATATATTATTTTTTAGTTATCGTCATTTTTTATGTTGAAATTTCAAACTGCTTTGCTTTCGAATTTTTTATCAAAATTGAAAGAATCCTGTACTCCTTTAATCCTGTAATCTAAATACTCAAAATTATTTACTAATGAATAAAAAATAAAATAATTTCTAAAATAATTTATTTATTAATAATTAATAAAATAATTAGTTACTAATAAATAAAAAATAATAATAAATAATAAAATTACTAAGCGATAGTTTATTACTGAACAGCTAGTAATACTTTTCTATAAAGGAATGGTGTGTTTTTGTAGACATTCTCAAAGATAACACAAGTCAACAAATTAAAGGATATTTAATATTACATGAAACTTTATATTGATTTCCAAAGGAATTTGGTGCGCTGAATCCAAATCTGGCCTCAAAATGGCGCCATCACGTCAGGATTTTGAGATATTCTAACCTAAAAGTGCAAAAATGGCTGTTTTATGGCATTGTTGCAGTTTCTTCCTAATTACATAGAATTTTATCGACAAAAACTAAACAAAGTACCGTAAAGTCTTGCCCTTCAATTTCCATCTTGGAACGTTTAAATAGGATTTTTTTCACCGAGATACAGCAGATTTAAGTTTTTACTGCGTACAAAAAACTTTCTGTATGCAGTAAAAATGTTAACTTAAATCTGCTGTATCTCGGTGAAAAAAAAATCCTATTTGGACGTTCCAAAATGGAAATTGAAGGGCAAGTACTTTACGGTACTTTGTTTAGTTTTTGTCGGTAAAATTCTATGCAACCAGGAGGAAACTCCAATAATGCCCTAAAACAGCCATTGTTGCACTTTTAGGTTAGAATATCTCAAAATCCTGACGTGATAGCGCCATTCTGAAGCCAGATTTGAATTCAGCGCACCGAATTCCTTCGGGTAAACCTCTTACTTCTTTTGTGATAAAAACCTGTGTAATCGATATTTACAGTAGTTTGTATGTGCATACTCAAGTGCTGAAATGTATTATTTGGCAATTGTTAGAGAAAGTACAGCTTACGGTTATCTTTTTCGTATGATCGTCACAGCCGAGTTTATTCTACTATTCATCGTCGCTTTTCAATACACGAAAATGTCGCGGTTGAGCGAAGAGTCTTTACATCGCTCGCGCATGTGTTAACATTCAGAATACGTTCTTTGTCGACGAGAATGCATGGTTCCCCAAGCCGGTAAAGAGAGAAGTTATTCACACCGTGACTAGAATCACAGAGATAGAAAAATTGATTCCTTCCTCGAGACTCTTGCGGGAATATCCTTGAGGGAGAAATAAATTCGTCGAATTTCGTTTGCAGCAGCCCACACGGAATAACATAACTCAGGCCGAATCTTTCTAGCGTTTGAGTTCTCGCGAGCTACATTCGCGCGATGTGGAATATAAACACTAGCCGCTCTTAAATTTCACGATTGCTCTGTGAAAGCCGCGCGACGAGAGAGTGAGTGATTGAATGAAAGAAAGAAAGAGAGAGAGAGAGAGAGATAAAAACAGAGAGAAAGGACAAATTGAAAGAATTCGCATTTCATATTTCTCCTTTCCGTTTCGCGATAGCTGAGTTGCATTGATCCGATTTTTCGAGCCGCGTTCACTTCGACGTTTAATACGAGAGAAACAGGAGAGAGCGGTCTGAAACATATTTTTTTGTCGAGAAATTCACCACATAAGCCGCGTCGCAAACCGTCGTACGAGGTCACGATTCCTCGATCGACGAATACTACGCCTGTGACTACGTATTCATACGATATGAGTAAATCGTCTTGACTCGATTTTCGCGGCTCCACTTCGCCGCGGCAAAACGGAGCAAGCGATTCTGGGGAGGGACTCGCCGACATTTCTCAGCCTTACGGTACATCGATTCACCCTCAGCCCACGCGCGCCCCGACGGCACTTTCGATTTTATGGAAATACGGCCGGGCTGTACCGCGTAAAAATCTGGCCGAAGCTGAGACTCGCGAGACGCCGAAGCTCCTGGCGGAGAGTTTTTCGCGAACAGCGCGAACACTCGCTCGCCGCCGTCGCTGTAATGAGTATCATAAGCAAAATAAGATTCGGCGGAAATTACGTCTGCCCGCGGGCGAATTTGCCCGTAAAAAAAGCCGAAACCGGATCTCTGTTGTTCACGTTGTCCCGCGTATTCACTGCCGGATTCGCATTTCGCCAGAATCCACGCTCGCTTAAACTCTGATCGGGCAAGATGCACTCGAAACTTACGAAAAATTAGAACTCCAGAAAACAGAGACTTTGCATTAAAAAAAAAGAAAGAGAAAGGAAGAAAGAAAACTGCATTTTCACGCGTCGCGTATGTGTCTCGCAGCGGTTTGGCGCAACGGTGCGCCGTTTCGTCGAGAACGGATGAACAGAAGAGCGATGCTTTTGTGAAGAGAACTACCCGCTTACTTAAAAAATCCAATTTCTGTAAACGCGTCCATCGCGCGGGTGGGACTGCCGCGAGTATCAAAGAGGCCCGAGCAATAAGCTCCATATTGAAAAATGAAATCTGTGTCTCGTGAATTATTTATTGCACACTCGCTACCGCTAGTCGTTCGTTTCCATTCGATTACCATCAAGCAGTAGAGAGCGAAAAATACGAAAAATGTTCGCTTTGTGCGTGTGAGTCCGTGTATGTGTGTGTGATAGATCGAGAGCAGGTCGATAGAAATTCTCGATGTTAATAAAACCCGCTTTAACGAACCAACCCGATATTCTTTTTCTCCTTTTTTCTCTCTTGCAGGCGTGCATTTCGATACAAGCAGCGAGAGCTTGGTAAGCGAAATCACCACGGCGATCAAGGTCTACGCTTACGGCGTCGAGGACTTCGTCAACGATCCGAAAAATGCGGAACGCAGCCTGAACACTCAGCTGAGCTGCGAAGGCGCCGGTGAATCACGCTGGAGCACGGGGGATTTGTTTTTCAAGTAATTCCACGTAACACTTACCGCTAAAGTGTAGACAGCTTCGTCCGCGTCGAGCACGCTCTCGACGAGCTTCCTTTCTGTCCTTCTTTTTCTCTCCTTTCTCCTTTTTTTCTTCGAATCACAGCGGAGTTTCCTTCCGGAGTAATTTCGTCAGAGGCGGGATTCTATCTCGCGCGTCGGTTTCGCCGACTTTCATGAGGTTTCGCGAATTTCAGGAATTGCGGCCTCCGCGCGTGTAAAATAATGTGTAATTTAATCCTTAGGAACTTTCCTCGCAATTTTGAAGTGTCAGCGCTTCGCTCCTTCCATTATCAAGTTTCTACATTTTGAAACTAATAGTCCGATGTGTTTGCTATTCAACGTGTTGTTTCGCCGTCGTTCTCGAGGATTTTTCCAAAGTTTTATTGCGTATTGAAGTTGCCCGATATTCTTGAAATTGTTTCCACCATCATCATATCCATCCAATTTTTTAAACAATTTTCCTGTGTTCAAAACAGCGATAAATAGTATGCTCCAAATCCTACACTGATATCTTCATTCATTTCTTTGAGAAAAGTTCGTAAGAACTTCCTAATTCACGGCTATATTTAAGCCAGAACCTTCCATTAAATCTTTGTTGTAATTTCCAAGAGACTCTCAGAGTTCTAGTCTAGCGAATCATGTTACACAACTACCCTCTTTCCTGTAATCCCTTTAGATACCTGAAAAACGTCTCCGTCGAGGGCGACCAAGGGAAGCCGCACGTGGAGTTCACTCAAGACGGTGTGCTGAAGGCGGCGGAGTTGAAAATTATGAACCTTCGGCCGGGAGTTAGCAAGCAGCTCGTCTGGGAGGAGGTAAGTCCGAATTATTTCGCATGTACTTTACTAGCCGCGAAACTTTACTCACTGAAAGCTAGTCGTGTATAGAGAACGTGGCGCGGTTGCACACTCGCAAATAAATAACACAAAGACGGTTAGAATAACGAAAAGCGAAGCAACGAGGGTCGGAGGAGACTCGGGAGAATGGGGATCTCCTGAGTGGATTTCTCCCGGCGCACGTCACGCTATTAATGCAATTAGGCGTTTGCAGAAGTTTGCAGAAATTCTGCACAGTGCGCGAAAAAAATTCCCGCTCTAAAGAGTTCGCTTTCGCCTCTTCCTATCGACACATCGATTGGACGCGAGAGAACGGATGACAATCGCCGAGAATTTTCCTTTGCTACACGGCGAACTGTCATCGCGTCAAAAGTAAGGATTACTATATCAAAAGTGATTCTTCTCTATTTTTTATTAATCTCCATAATACCTACCTACGTGAGCGCGGACGCTCACGAGATGAGTCAATTTTTTGCTGTATTTGCTGCGGTTGCCGCGACTGACAGGTTTCGAGTCGATATTCGTAATTGAACGGGGGCGAATTCGGGGGTTGATGGAGCGGTGATTTTTCGAAAAAAAAAGAATCCTCGCGGAAAAATATTCTTTCAGCGTCGGGTGTGGCGTCAAAAGCTGAATGAGCGGTAGTATCGCGCAAAAGGGCGGAAATTTATCGCGCTCTCGGCCGAAAAGCCTCAAAGGGGACGCGCGTGCGCGTGATGCAGCGCATAACAGCTCGTGATCGCCTCTCTTTCGTTACAAGTTGGATTTGTGGCGCCAGGAAATTGCGGTAAACTTCAGTCGTACTTTGGCGCACCCTGCGTTCGTCGTCGTCGCGTCGTCAACGTATCCGATCGAATGCACCGCCGACCGAAAACCGCAAATGAGAGGCGCGCTGTTCCGCGCAAGAATCGACGTAGCGATCTCATTATAATCCGCGTCCCTTCGCATTTTCGCACAGCGCCGCTGGATGATTCGCGTCAATAAATTAACGTGATGTAGTGCAAGCCTTCTAAGTTTCTCTCTCTCTCTCTCTTAGTCGGCTTTCCGTCGCGGAACGAGAGCGGCAGGCACGTTTCCGCTCTCCAGAAATTGTTAAGCTCGGATGACTCGTAATCGCGTTATGAATTGCCGCTCGCAAGATATTTTAGGATACGTGCCTCGCCCCGCTCCGTCGCGTCGGCCGGGAACGGCGACACAATTGTCACGTACGCGACGCCCGGGACATCCCCATGGTACTTTGCTAGATAAAACTATTATGGCATCCCTTAATGCGCGCTACGGCGAAGGAGATACTGACACGCCCGGTTGAGGAGGGATCCTCCCTGTTGGGGCAGCCCGTAGAGTCTCGAACTCTTAGCGCGGGGTTACTTACGCGACCGCTCTCCATGAAACTGATCCGGCCCTTAAAAGGAAGGCTTATTCACTTGTACCAAGATGCTTCACATTACACCAAATTTTCATGTAATATTTACTGCAGTAAGGCACATATGTAGTGAAAATATCATGCGATTTCATGTCTGCACCGTTCGTGAGAAATTTAACACTGAATATCGCATTCTGCATATACAACCATATTGCAGAAGCAATATAGCTGACCGTTATGTGTGTAATTTCGTAAAAAATATCATTTAAATTAAAATCTTAGCGTTATAAATGTTGCATATTAACAAAAGTGTATAATTATTTTCCTTGAAATTACCCATATAATTATATATAATTGATTTAATGTTAAATTCTACTTGAACAACTTGTCTTTATCCTGGTGGAATTCGAAGGCCTCCTCGGATTGTGAGTCGTCTGTCAACGCGTTACATTAATTCTTCACAATTCATAGATATCTATTATATATACATTATCACAATTCATAGATATCTATTGTATATAAATTATCTATCTATGTTATAACTAGCGTTGAGTATCAGAATATGTGATTAAAATATCTAGAAATTCCGTTCAGTTCAACCAATGGTCGTTTAATCAAACGTGTCACATTAATCCACTCATGATCGTTCTTCGTATATATAGTCATAATAATTGTATATTATTATTACATATGCAGAAAATGTCACATTACTGCATACTACTAACCAAACTCTAGACGGTATTACAACTAAATATTCTTGAATACTAAAGAATTTCATTCTAATAGCCAAAAAGTCTGTTTATTTTCACTGCTTAACCAAGCATGTCACGTTAATTCAACCAGGCTCTTTTTCCCGTGAGGCACTATTACCTCAGTCTGTTTGAGCTATACGCATAGGCACATGGGAAATAATCGAATTTCCTCGCGCGTTTTTCCACCCTTTGCCGGAATTATCTTCATATCGTAACAATGTCGTTGAGCATACGACTGAGATTTTTGCTAGTTTCGCACGAGAGAGTTTTTAACGGCAGTATTAAGTTTCGCAACTTTAATGGGAATTCTCTAACGAAAATGCCAGCGAACTTTAACTTCACCTTACGACGTTCCGTTCGCGACGCGAATCCATCTTTGTCCGACGTGCCGTTTTATCCGGTAGATTCTTTCGTCACCTCATTAAAGTTTTAGACGCCCGCGCGCTGTGAGGAAACGGGCTGTTTCGATGACGACACAGTCGAAATTTCCCGCTCGCTCATCCATTCACTTCGGTGAATCCGCTATTTGTGAAAAGAGATAAGCCTGCGGGTCTTTTTTGTATAAGAGCTGATAAGTCCTTGTACCGCTTGCGGTCCATTCGTAATATAATTCGAGACGCGACAGCGTTTTTCAGTCTGAAAACTCTGATCATATATTCCTCTACAAATTGCTCTATTGCTCATTTCTGTAAGCGTGACATTGATCTCAGAAACGCTTAAATCTTTTTTTGTGACGTTATTATTATTATTTCACTTTCTAGACTTCTAATTGTGCCAAGTAAAGAATAAGGGAGCTCTCTCCTTCTTTATATTCTATTCTTTATATTTATTATATAAATATAATTTCCTCTAAAAGTCGTTCTATTGCTCCTTTTCATAGACGAAACATCGACCTTAGAAGCTCTTAAAACTTCTTTGCGACAATAGACTTCTAATTATGCCAAATAAAGAATGAGTAAGCTCTCCTTCTTTGTATAAATATAATTTCCTCTAAAAGTCACTATATTGCTCATTTCCGTAGACATGACATCGACTTTAGAAACGCTTAAATCTTTTATGTGACATTATCATTATTATTTCACTCTCTAAACTCTTAAGTGTGTCAAATAAAAAACAAAAAAGGTCTCCTTCTTCTCTTTTGCGTAAATATAATTTCCTCGTAATTTTCAAATTGTTAATCCTCAACTTTGTATTGCTTATTTTTAAAGACACACCTCGATCATCTATATTTCTCTCACATATTTGAAGTAGATTCTCTTTTCTGACGGAGCCGTCATGTATACACGAGTAACTTTATAACAAGATTGGAAACCATTGAACTAAAATGTATGTCGTATATACCAGAAGAGACATTGACATTTTTCGCTCTCTTTCTCTCTCCCTCGTTATAATTTGTTCATTAATCAATCTAACAATGATCCGACAGCTTCGTAATAGAGTTCGTGACTCGACGGGTTTTAAAGTACCTTCAACGTGTCGAGCGTTGTTGCGCCTGCGTCTGCAAGGTTTTAAATAAATTTTCCAAAGTTTCCCCCCGAAGAGGCACGCTTTTTCCCCTCCTCATCAAGTATACACTCGTGAATGGTTCATTTTTTATACGGCCCATGAGCTTGATGATCTGAACACGCATGTAGAGAGAGCTTGCACCAAAAGCAGTTACATAAAGGCATACGATATTCATTAAACAGATGTGTTTGCAATATTAAAGCGGATTTGAGATTTCGCTTAATTCTTTGCGTCTCTAGCCAAATGCTGCGGAGCGCGTTAAACATTCAGTTCCATTGCGAAAGCTAATCTCATAAATTCAACACAAGAGCCGGAATGTCAAAATTACAAGCTTCGCTTAATGTCGAAATTCCGGCAGAGTCCCGCGCAATCTGCGCAATTAACGCCTAACTCGACACGGCGCGAAGATTCTTTGCACAAAATCGTAAGTTCTCCATCGTGACTGTTGACGTTTCTTCCAAACGAAAAAATATCACGACGAGAGATCGCCACACTTCCGTCCCGCGGCTAATGCAACACGACGCGTTTGCTCGCGCTTATCTTGACGAAGCTATAATTAAAACACTATTAATCCAGCAGCCAACTCGTGGACGTAATGAAAGCTGCGCTAAAATTTCATTTGCCATCCCGCGCGGGCGGCGCGACGGCGCATGAAACTTTGTTATCCCGACGTCCACGTGACCGAGACCCGATCCTGCCCTCTCATTCCCCCTCCCCGCCTCTCGCACGAGTCACGATTTTAATTATTTCCTTTAATTCCAGAGGACGGCTGCTATCTCGGCACTTGGCCGTCTCTTCTCGCACGAATAGTCGTCACCCTGTACCGCGTCGCTGTCGTCGTCGTCGTCGTCTCTAATTATATCTGCCGTTCGTATCGCGTCAGCACGAATCATTGGCCAGCGGACCACGAGTTTCCCATTTATTCCGTCCTGACAGTGACGTCCTTCCGGCCCCGTGGCAGAAATAATTAACCGGGATCGAAAGCGCGACGCGGTTCGCTGCGCACGACCGAGCCCGACGGCAAGTCGATAAGAGCAAACAGCGAGATATCGCTGGATTCGAGTTTAACCGCGGATTGAAGTTCTCGCGACGAAACGAAATTTTCAAACGTGCGCTCATTTTCAGATAAAGACGGAGGAATTCAGTCGAATTTTTAACGCCTTCAAATGCCAAATTTTCGATGCTCGAGGTTAAGATTTAGAAGATTTCTCTTTCTTTATTGGTTTTCTTTCTCTCTTTTTACTCCTTTCTTTCAACTGGGATCGTCGGAAAGTAGCTGTTGAAAGCGGGGGACTGACGATATAGGAGGTTTTTCATGGAAAATATTGAGTCCCGGACGTTAATGGCCTATGCCGTAT